CCCTTGCATTTGTCTACCATCAGATCCAGACTCTCATCCCTCTTGCTACAACTCAAATGCAGTTCTCAAGAAGGCCACCCCTCAGCCTTCCCTTTCCTGATTAGACAAGTTCAGGGTCTCCCATCCACTTTGTCCTCTACCGTGACTCAGCTCCCCTGCCGGGCCCGGGAAGCCAGCCAGAATTATTCCTGGCTTGGGCAGGCGGGATTCCGGCTTCCTCTCCCACAAAGAGACGGGGGGAGCCTCCTGCCTCCTTCCTAAACCCTGTCCCCTTCCTTTAGAGATTGGTAAGGCCCAAGACCCCCCTCACAGCTCAGCCTCAGGTTGGGAGAGGCCCTGTATAGGTGCAGGAAGGATGGAGGGTGGGCAGCTCAAGGTCACCTGCATCTCCTTCTGGCTTTAGACACATAGTATCTATATAATCCTGGCCAACTCTAAGGTAACAGCCCTACCCTTCCTAGGGCCTCCCATCTAGCCCTCAACACAGGCCAATGGGAGTCATTCCTGGGCCTACTCTCCCTCTCTCCTGCTACATGATACAGCCCTTTCCACTGTTCTGAAGAGGAGGCATTGGAAACTATTGTTATTCCTAACTAGCTATAAAAACAAAGCATAAGCCAAGAGTATAATGTCATAACAATTAACCATTTCTAATAAACTTTCTCTGTGAAATAGAGAAGAGTAATAGATAGCACTTTTAATTCCACAGCTTGTGAGAAAGACTTCTATTGAGAATAACATTAACTACTTATTTTCATATTAATTGTATTTGATCTAAATGTTAGAAATTTGATATTTTAGAAGATGGTTTTCTCATTTTGTGGGCCATTGTACTACTTTGGAACCTGAGGAAACTCTGGAGACCTTTTGCTCTAACCCCTTTATTTTATAGCTGGGGAAATTCAGAAAGGGGAGGTGATTTGCTCAAGGTCACACAGCAATTTAGTGGCAAAGTCAAGCCTTGAACTAAGGACAATGAGGGTCAAGACTGTTTCTACTACCCATACCACCTAGCAATTTGTTGGTAGTTTACCTTGACTCTTATTAAGGGATAGGAGACCCTACAACCTCTCCAAAAACCCTTTCTCTAACCATCTCCAAGCAGAGCCTGTGTCACATTCAGTACTGGGAACCCAAGGGGGCACAAATAGGATGAACTCTCCTAGCATCTAGTCTTTGAGCCAGACTTGGTCTTGGCTGCTGCAGCTGCTGGAGGTGGTAAGGGGCTGAGGGGGGTGAGGAGGAGGAGAACACAGGGCACAGTTGGTAGGTAAAGCCATCTCTTGCCAGTTGTCCCTGCAGCTGTCCCTGGTTCAGTCTGACACTGAGCTACTGAATCACTGGGGGGAGGGGTTGAGAGTAGGGGCAATGGGCATGTTTCACTTGTGTCAGGGTTTCAGGCTCCTGGAGGTCAGAAGTGCCAGTCAAGCAACGGTTCATGGGAGGGCAATCAGGACCCTAGTGAGGAATTTTTCTCTCTTTTGTTTCTGTTGGGCTCCTTAAGTATTTCTCAGTCCTCAGGCTTAGTTGTACCCTCTTCCTTCCCTTTGGATTAGAACACGGACTTCAGGGCAGGGAGGTATGACAGGTAACACCAAAAGGTACCCTACGGTGAGGGCTGGGGCCCAGGCATCCTCAAAGGCCCCTATGCCCGTTCTCCTCATGTTTCTGTCAAAGCACACAACTGCCTTCAGATCTGGGGTACAAAATTCCCATAACCAGTCCCAAGACAGTCTCAAGACAGGGATCACCAGCCCCCTGTAGCCTCCCAGAACTCTATCTCTGCTTATATGATTTGGAAGGGCCATAGCAGATCTTTCCAGGTACAGGCTGGGGCAAGGGCTGTTGATCAAGCACTAACAGGCCCTGGCAGGACAGCAGAGCATTGAGGTATCTCAGGTTCCAGAGTAGAAACTCCAGGCCTCAGGAGTAGGGCTCAGGACCCGGGAGCTGGGCCTCTAGTCACCACCCTGAGGCCCCTTCAACCTATCCCCTAAGCTAGTAGTAAGAGCACTTAGCTGAGAATCGTAAGGCCTGGGCTCAAGTCTTACCCTGTCACCCCCTTGCCGTGTGACATGGCACAAGTCTCTGTACCACTGTGGCTTTTGTTGTCTTTGTCCTATCAGAGCCTGTATGAGCTGAGCCTGCACCTCCCTGCTTGTGCCCAATGGGGCTACGTAAGGCGGGCAATCCAGGAAGTCATCAAGCGCGGGAACCTCATCCAGGGGGAAGAGGTGCTTCTGCTTTGTGGGCCTGGGATCTCCCCACTTGTGACTCAGGCTTCCTCTGTCAGTTCTGTATGGGAAAACGCAGACCCTGGCAACCACCAACAGCCCAGGCCTGTACCTTTGGACTCAGCTCTATAATCACTTGTGCATACTGCATGTCCAGAACCCAGGCTCCAGAACACTACCAGAGGTCCTAGGAAGGAGGCAGGAAAAGGACCCCAAGATGTAATGGAGAGGACGGACGTTAAAAGATGTAAACATTGAGATCCCCATCCTTCCCTTTAAGACATCTGCTGTCTCCACCCTGTCTCCTGCTGTCTCTTGTAAAGCTACCAGGGTAGGAAGGAGGGGGGCAGCATCTGAGTCATCCATCCAGCTGTCCTGCCTGGGGTAGGACACCTTCCAGCCTGGACCCCAGACGAGGCTTCCCTGGCGCTCTCAACCTCCCCATTCGCCCTGCACTTGGTTATCCAAATCCCTCAGGCCCCAAAGTAAAGAGTATGTGTGTGTGTGTGTGTGTGTGTGGAGGGGGGTGGGTTCTGCTGGAAGTGTATAACCTAGCCCAGCAAGAGGGAGCCCCAAATTCCTGGGTGTGGTCAAGGTACCTAGACAGGGCCATGGATTACCACAGGGTCTTACAGACAGCTCTGCATCCCAACCCCAAGCCTGGCCCTGAACTCTGAGCTCTAATTAAACATTAAACCAGACAACATCTTCTTTCCAGGCTTCTGTGGGAGGAGTTGAGGCTTTCTTCTTTCCCAGACTCATCATCCTACCCACTTCTCCACCCCACCTTGGGCACAGCGGACACAAAAGGGAACAACAAATTCTGGCTCCTTCTACTGGGGACATAGAAGGGGATAGACACTCCAGTCTGAGCCCCCTTTGTCCCTTCGCTCCCATCAGCCTGGGACCCAGGTGTGCAACACCCACCACGCTTTTCCGGAAGACCAGCCAGGATCAGTGGGGGAGAAGAGAGGCAGGTGGCTAAATATAACAAGTACACACACCACCCCCGCCCCTGCCCCACGTGCACACACACCCAGGCTGGGACAGCTGCACCAGCAGGCAAAGGAGACAAACTGGCGTGGCTGGGTTAGCTAGAGACTATAGACGCTGCTGGTTCTGTAGCCCTGGTCAGTCTTCCCCCAGAAAAAGACATGCTAAGAATGACCTTCAAAAGTATCTGCAGGGAGGAAGGGGACACTTCGGTAGGTGAGTGGACTAGTTTAGAACACTAATTCTCTCAACTCTTCCAACAGTCCAGCAGGGGTGGGCTCACCTAGTTTGCCTTTGGTTTGTCCTGCTAAGTTGTTCACATTACTAGGGGAAAAGACAGGAGTAATCTCTTTCAACAGGTTGAACCCGTCTCCCCAAGGAGCTTCCATCCACTCAATCAAGGGTGCTATGATATGGCCACACCCACCACACCTCAGAGGGTAGTGAAGGCTTGGGGCAGTGAAGGGGCAGAATGACCATAGAATGCACACAAGGGATCTTGGAAGAGCATGAATTTGGAGATGATGATGCAAAGGAAGAAGTGGGAAAGTGAAAATCCACAGGCCCTCAGGGATCCCTAACCACCTTTAGTGCTCTTTAGCCTGAATCCTCCTAGAAGAAAGGGGAGTAGGAAGAAGAAAACCAAATTCTTGGGGGGCTGGAACAAGAGGGCCTAAACTTCCAGGCTCCCAAAGGCCTTTATAAAAAAGAGGGTGGAGTAGAGTAGGGTGGGGCAGGGTGGGGCAGGGCTGGATGAGGTGGGAGTGGCATGAAGCGACCAACGGCTGGATTTCAAAAATGTCACTGTATTCCAGCAGTTTAATAAGGTAAAGATCAAAACGTCAGCAGCTGAAAGGATAGGCCAGAGCAAAGACTGGTCAGACTTGGCCGGACAAATGAAAGTGGCTCACTCTGAGAGGGAGAAGAGCGACAGAGGCTCGACCCTCTGCGCAAGGCCAAGAGGGGGTGCCCACAGACTTGAGCATAACACAACTTCTTAAGCCAGCAGCCTCTGCCCTCTGTCTCCCTCCCTCCCTTGCATTCCAGGGCCATGCAGGCCAAGGGCTGTGGGAGCTGCGGGGGAGCTGCACTCCTGGAGCTATTTGGTGGGCCTGTCAGAGCCCAGCAAAGGTCTTAGACAAGCAGGGAGTGAGAGAGAGCTTCTGACTCTTAGCAAGAACTCAAGAAAGGGTCATACCAAGGAGGCCACTACCACACCCCTGGATGGGAAGAAGGGGGTCACCCTGCTCTGGTGACCTCTCTTCAGCACCACTGGACATCTGCCATCTTGGGAACTCTGTTGTCCTGGGCATCACGTGCTTAGAGCCAGCCTGGGAAAAGTTGGCATGGTGCCAAGCCTGCCAAGAAAGTTGTAATGGGACCCCTTTCACCCATTCCAATGTGTCCTAGGTGCCCAGATTTCTCATACCTGGCAGGACCCACTCTGCTTTGAGCTAGCTCATACTCCAGCCTCCAAATGGCTGGCAAACCCCACCCTAACGGAATGTGCCCCTGTCACTAGCAGCTACTTGGCCCCGACGCTCCCACAATTCTTTATATTTCCTACCCTCTCCCAAAGACCCTTTCCTTCTCTCACGTCAATTCCCTTTGGCACACCAGTCACCCGCTTGGGGCAGTTCCGGGAAGGAAGGAGACTATATGGCAAAGTTATCAGCCGCCCAGAACCCTCTCGCTCCCTTTCTGGAGCGGGGCAGGAGCGTCGCTCCGCCCGCCCTCTCTGTTCCCGGCACGCTGCCACCTGGGCGCACTCACCGCGCTTTGAGCTCCTTAAATTCCTCTCGCACTTTGCTCAATTCCAGCTGCAGGCGGGCTCGCTCCTTGGCCACCGAGTCGAGGGTCTTGCGGGCATCTCCAAGCTCGGCCTCATAGGCGGCCTTGATGCCGGACACCTCGCGGCTGACCACCTCCTCGGACTCGGTGATGCGAAGGCGCAGTCCTGCGTTCTCCGTCTCCAGTGAGCGCACACGGTCGATGTAGACTGCCAGGCGATCATTGAGCTCCTGCAGGTCTTCCTTCTCCTGCAGCCGGGTGATACGGGTGGGCGACAGCGGGGTGGAGCTGGACTGCGCCCCGCTGCGGGTGGCGCGCCGTTGGGACGGTGTCTCCATGGCCGGCAGGGTGGCAGTGCTGCCCGCAGGGCAGGGGTCCCGAGAAGGGCGCGGGGCTCAGGCTGAAGGACAGACACAGTTCGGGGTCGGAGCGCGCCGGCCGGCTGGCTTTCGGCTTGCTCCTGGCAGGCGTGGGGATCTGGGCCGGGCGTTGTCGGATCTCCAGATCGGGGTTGGCTAGTATAGAGGCGTCGCTCCCGCGAACACTGAGTCACCGGCGCCGGGGCAAAGGCTCTAATAGGTCTGTGGAAAAGGAGGCGGGGCCGTTGCTCTTAAAGGGGCCGTCACATACACACAGGAGTGGGGGTGAGCAAGGAGGAGGGGAGACTCATGCCCACCCCCTTAGACTCACCGCCGTCAGCCAGGCACTTCGCTGAAGCTCCTGTATCTTTGTTCTTTCCCGCTCAGCGCTCGTAGCTCCAAGCTTTCCCTCACTCCCTCTGCCTTCTGGGGTAAAGGGCAGAGCCAGCAGATGAGAGTGGGTAGGCAAAGGGCAGGGGGGAGAAGGGAACTGAGTGCAAAGCGTAGGGAGGGGTCCAGGCAAGCAGGGCTGGGGTACAGGAAAGAGGGGGTAGGGCTGAGGCTAGTGCCCAGCAGGGTGACTCACCCTCCTTCCACCACTGGCTCCCCCTTCCCTCCCTGTAGTTATAGTGAGTCACCCCTACCCCCCCTCCACTCGTGGGCAGCCCATTCAAAGCAGCATTTCACTATGCCAGGGGTGGAGTGGAGAAAGAATGCCTAGGTTCCCCTGGGGGATAACAAAATTCTGCCTTTCTTTACCCCCTCTATCTTGGGGTAGAATCATGAATTTGGGGTCCCTTACCCCTATCTTCCACCTCAATATATTTCCCTTCCAGACCAACTGTTGGGTCTTACATTCAAGTTCCAAGCCCTGTTCCCCAGAGAAGGCCAAGAATAGGACCTAGGCAACTGCCCCCATCCCCTGCCCCCCTGCTATGGTCCCAAGCAATTGGAACAAGAGTCTGCCTAGGTTCCTCCCCTTTTCAGTCCCTTTCTACTCCTCACCCCACCCAGCCAATTCCAGGACTGTACTTATTTTGATGGATAATTTAAAACAGATACCAGAGCTGTGCTTGTGCTCATCACGTTGCCAGGACACCAGGTCCCAGATTTTTGTGGTTCCCAAAGGGGCCTGAAAGGGGGAGCAGGGCCACGGGCTGGGCAGTCAATGTTGGGTCTTCATCACAGTTCCAGCCAAGAACCCACATTCTTGCTGGCTGCAAAGGCCAGCATCACCCTCATCCCTGCACTCCTTTCCAGCCAGGTCTGATCTGTAGCTGGCTCTGGGGAGGGAATCAGGCTTCTGACATGACAGGATCACATGGGACCCCAGACTTCCTGGCCCTGGACCCCTCACCAAAGACCCCCCTGACCAGCCTTCTACTCCCTTCCCCTAATCCTGGCCCTGGCCCCACCAGCCACCTAATCCCTTCTAAGAGGTGTCAGTGCTGAGGCTCTGAGACCCATCTGCCTGCCTGCCCCACCTGATGCCTCCCACAGCTTATTCCCTGATGAGGAACCCAGGAAATTAAATTGTGTTGCTAACTCCTACAGCTCCAGGATAGCAGAGATTCTGTAATACACAGGGGAAGCAGGGTTGGGCGGTCCTCCATTATGGGGTTCTGGAGCCAGGCCTCAGAGTGGACAATGGGCAGTGGTGGGATTAAGGCAGGGTCTGTGTTCAGGGAGGGACACTGGGAAGGGGACACCTAGGTCCCCGTCTCAGTGACTGATGGTGTCTGGGCAGTGTAGTGAGCACCCACCTCCTGAGAAAACTCAGGACAAGGATCCCTCCCTGCAGCCCTCTCCTCCAGGGCTTGGCACCCCACCCTTAGATTCCCAGACAAAACAAAAAGCCTTGTTCTGCTTCTCCCTCTTCTGTTCCCCAAACCAAGAGCAGAGGCGGGGTGGGTGAGCCAGTGAAACGTGAGGGAAGGGCTCATGCTGTTCCTGCTGCTTCAGCCCCCTCCCTGGCACTGAGCCCCCCCTCAGCCCCACCCAGTGGTCTGGCTTCCCCTCCTGGCCGGGGAACCAAAACCATACTTAACTCTTACTATCCTGGACCTTTGGGGAAAAGGGGGCAGGAGAATGGAAGGGGGTTCTCACCTCAAATTTCACTCTGGGCTCTTTCCAAAGGGCTTCCCCTCCCACCAAAATGGCCTCAATCCTAAATTTGAACTTCAAAGTGGGCCTTTATTCCTGAACATTTCATCCTAACCACTGCCATATTACCCAATAAGAAAGGTAAGCACAGTCTTACTTGTGCTTACTTACTAATCTGTAGCGAACAATTTCCTTTTTTTTTTTTTTTTTTCTCTCACCATATCAGAGATTCTGCTTTTAGGTATGGCTGTCATCTGTCTCTCTCTACCTCACAGCACCAGCCTACAGAATCAAAGCCTCTTTTCAAATTTACAATCCCTGACAGGGTTGGGGGAGCTCTGGTGGCAGAGTGCCTAAGGCATTGGACTACTAACTAGAGGCTTGTGGTTCAAACCCACCAGCCACTTCTCAGAAGGAAGATTGGGAGATCTAGTGATTCCACCTCAGAAACCAAAGCAGGGGTCCCCAAGAGAGGTTGCTATGAATTGGAATTGACTCGATGGCAGTGAGTTTGGTTTGGTTTTTTGACAGGGATGGAGGGCCCAGTAAGCAAGGTTAGCATGAGCTTACTAGTGCTAATTTACTAATCCGTAATGAACTGTTTCAAATGTTTTTCACATCAAAGATGTGAAATTGTTCACTATAGATGAGTAAGTAAGCACAAGTAAGCCTGTGTTTACTTTACTTGCTGAGTAATCTGCCCCTGCTCCTAACCCTGGACCCCCAAATGCCATCTCTTTGCATTCCCTCTCTTAAGGAATGGGTCACCTGTTCCATGAGAGCAGGAGAGGCCAGGTCCCAAGGGGCTAGGCCTGCCAGGGGTGGGAGTGGGAGTGGAGGGGCGTTATCCCCATGTGGCAACCTGGTTCAAATCCTGCCTCTCACTTGCTGTGTGATGCTAGATTAGCTACTGAATTCTCTGAGCCTTGGGTTCTCATCTATAACATGGGCAGAGTGGTGACCAGACACATGGGGGTTAGAGCTCCTGCATATGCAGAGGATGCCACAGGGTAAAAGCAATGCTTTATTTGCCCTTGAGGGAGCTGCCCACTGGTAGGGTAGGCAGAGGGAGAAGCCAAACCAGCAAGCAGAGAGAGCAGCATGGGACACTGAATTGGATAATGAATTCCAAATGAACCCCAAGTGGTTGAGGGCTGGACAGTTAATGAGTGATCTCAGAAAATGGTGGATGAAGTCCAGGGGCTGGTTTGGGCAGGGAAGGGGCATCTGTCTTGGAAACTAACTATCTTTGTGGGGGCCTTTCTTTGGTACTTCCACAGCTTTCTGGGCCTCCCTCCACAACCCTTCCCAGAGGTGAACTCTGTGAAGGACAGAAGGGCCCAAGTCTTGACAGTCTGTGTACCCAACATCTGGCCCAGAGCACACAGTAGATGCTCGGTGTTTCTTGGTACATCTGGCACTGCCACTTTTCAGAGTGACTCTGAGCAAGACTCAGCCTCAGTTTCATCATTTGTAACATGGAGATGTGATGAGTACAAAAGGTAACATGTATTTGAAAGGAGGCTTCTTGGAGAAGAAAGATTTAGGGACTTTACAGAGGTTCTGTATACATAGCGAATTCAGTCATTCAACAAATATTTATTGAACACCTACCTACTACATGCCAGGCACTGTTCTAGACACTGGGGAGATAGCAATGAATAAAACAGAACAATATCTCTGCCTTATGGATCTGACATTCTAGTGGAGTCAATGAATGAAAGACAAATTTATAGTTTGTTAGAAGGTGGTAAGTGAAAATATAAAGCAGGGCAGTGCTCAAAAAACAGTGAATCACACTTTTACGCTGTTTATGGTTGTATGTTTTCACATATATTCTCTAACTAGGTCCACAAAACCACCTCATGGGCTGGATATGATTTCTTTGTTTTATAGGTAAGGCTCATTTTGCCAACACTGAACAGTAAGTAACAGGCAGAGCTCAGACCTTGGACTAGAAACCAGGCAGCCTGGTCCAATCGGGGAAGTGCTTCACTATCTTAGGCCACTTTGGCTGGATGCGTGGGAGATGTGCAGTGAGGGGTGGTGCCAGGAGGAAGTCTGTACAGAGGTGCCAAAGTGGGGAAGAGCTGAAGAAGAGGTGCACTAGCCTGCTGAGGAGAGCAAGGAGGTGAGGTCAGAGACTATGGGAGGAGAGGCAGTGGGGAGAAGTGGGAAGTGGAGTCAGGGACCTGAGAGGAGTTCTGGTACGAGGATAGGGTCTGGGTGAAAACATTGTAGCTGTGTGAAAGAGCTTGGGGTTCAAAAGGATAAAAGAGGCATCAAGACCAGTAAGGAAAGAGTCAAAGGCACTGATCTCGGCAAGAGGTAAGCTAAACTGGGGTGAGTCTCAGCGAAGGGATGAAACCAGAAGGGATTCCAGAGGGATCTCAACAAACACTGCCATCAAATCAGATCCGACTGATAGCGACCCCGCCTTGGGTTTCCGAAGCGGTATCACTACTGAAGTAGATCACCCAATCTTCCTTCTGAGGAGTGGCTGGTGGGTTTGAACCACCAGCCTTCTGGTTAGTAGGCAGATGCCTTAGGCACTACATCAGAGGGATATTAGTAACAATGATTCTAGGGAATATTTATGGACTATTGGTGGCACAGTGCCTAAGGCATTTGACTGCTAACCAGAAGGTTGATGGTTCAAACCTACCGGCCTGTTCCATGGAAGGAAGATGAAGGAATCTACTTCCATAAAGATTTACCGCCTTGGAAACCCATGGGGGTTGCTATGGGTCAGAATCAACTTGATGGCAATAGGTTGGGTTGGGTTTATTGTTAAGCATTAGGTGTTTGCATAATCTTTTGAACTTAAATGTCTACAGGTTCCATACAATTATGATCCCCTTTTTACAGATGAAACTGTAATCATTCATTCAAGCCAGGATTTCTCAACCTTGGCACCACTGACATTTTGGGCCTAACACTTCTTTGCCGAGGTAGGCCGTTCTGTGCAGTGATAGGATGTTCAGCAGCATCCCTGGCCTCTACCCACTCAATACCAATAGCACCTCCATCCCTAGTTATGACAATCAAAATGTCTCCTGACATTATCAAATGTCCCCTGGAAGGGCAAAATCACCTCAGCTGAGAACCACTGGTTATTA